TAATTGTAAAATTAATACCTGATTTTTAAAAAGTTAAAACTAAATAACTGGTCTAGTGTAATTTCCTTGAATATAAAATCTTGAACGTTGTTCGTTTGGAAATGGATGTGTTAAATACAAATTTTAGCCCAATAAATTTCAAGGTCAGGCCCATAATTCAATCTTCATCATAAAATTCATGGGTTAATTACACAAGTATGAAACATTTGGGGTCCTATTTATAGAATCAGTTATATCAATATATATTATTATATACAATACAAAAATAAGATGAAATTATTTTAAAATCAGGTCTTTTTCAAATAAGTTATTTTTTGTACATGTAGTATTTTGTACAAAAGTTTTACATTTAAATCATGTTAACTGTCTGGAATTTATTTGAAATTGTAACTTGCATTATTTAATTTTTTGAAAATCACCACCATTGTAGTTAGTGTCATCACCTTCTCAAATCATTGTATACGTACCCTCAGTCATCGCCACCACCATAATCCACATGGTTGGGTTGTCCAAACATAAAGAAGGTTAAATCTCATTCTATCTTGGAGGTGAGTTCTTGATAAGTGCATTTTTGTGTACTTATTAGATGTATATTACTAAACTTTTGTGTCGTTTTAGTATTGAATTTTATTTAACTTAGGTTAATTTTATCTTTTTTCAGTTTTGAACATGTTCCTAAACAATTGGAAAAGAAAGAAGAATCAATTGGCCAATAGATAAAAGTTAGGTGATTAATATGTATTTGAGTGAAAGTTGAAGCACTAAAAGTTGAAGTAATTTAATGCGGAGGACCAAGATGGAGGAAACAATAAAGAAAATTACTAAAAGGAAAATTCGAAAAGTTTTTATAACTGGGCAACCGCCCAATTATATAGGCCAGGCGACTACTTGACCCTTAATCTCAATTATCGGGGCTACTTATTATGCCTAGGCAGTCCTCCCGCTTATTACTGGGCGCCCGCCTAGGCCAATGCAGCTAAAAAAATTTGTTTCCTTCATAATTCAATTCCAACAAGGAAACTTTCTTTTGGGTCATAATATGCACGATTTTTGGAGATCTTTTGTGACTCTTTAGAGGGAATAAAAATACCAAATCTTAAAACATAATTAGGGGGTAGAGAATTAATTGCAAAAGGAGGTAAAAAAACACATCAAGATTCAATTTCAAGAACTTCAAGATTTAATTCAAGAATTTTCGGGTGATGAACAACCTTTATATCTTTTGTTTTCTTCTTCAATATGTTATACTAGATTTATTTGTATTAGAAGAACGATGAACCTTGTAATATGAAATTGAAAACACGTTTTTTGAATATTGAATGATTTATATGATTTTCTTTTCTCCACAATTATTGTGCACTATAGTTTTGTGAATGTGACGGCCTATTTTATGCATTCGAAAGAAGGAAAATAAGTTTGACATATATAAATTGTCATATGGTCCGATAAGAGATAGAAATATACCGCTATACCTTTTGTGTATCTTTAAGTGTTCATAAAAATTCATGCATTCTTATATGTTCGCATCCATCATAGAATTATTGTTGAGTCATATATCAGAATATGATTAACATTACTCAAAAGAGATTGTTAAATAAAATAGGAATATTGATTCGTCAAAATTTAATCGTATTATCAAAGTGTAGAACTAAGGTTAGAAATGATCATTGTATGAGAATTTGGGATCTTAGTGCATTTGTCATTTATTAAACACATTAGTTTACATTTAGAACAATTTGTATTTAGTTTAATTAATTGCATGAGTAGATTCTTTTAGTTATAATTTTGTCACAAACAAACGCGTCACATTATTCTTGTTTCGGTTAAGGTCGCGATAAGTAAAACTGAACTAATAAATCTCTATGGGTTGATACTTGGACTCAAAATCCACTTTATTACTTGCTAACGATCCGTACACTTGCAGTGGTTTTAATTCGATATATATTTTCGTGAACAAGTTTTTGGCTCCGCTGTCGGGGATTGAGTTTTAGTTTGATTTTATTTACCTTGATACTAATTCGGACTTCTACATGTGTTCTTGTATTATTTTTATTTTCATTCCATTTTAGTTTTTTTTTTCTCTCTTTTTCAAGATATATAAAGGAACAAGGATAGCAGGATAAAAGATGAATGTGGTTGATTTCAACAAAATGCTCGTATGTGATTTTATCATAAGGCAACAACAATTGATAGGTCAAGAAATTGATGAGAGTGATATGCTTGTGGGAGATTTCACTATAGGACAACAATTACCAGATATAAAAGTAGAATGTGAACTTGATGAAATTGTCTTGGGTGACTTACTCGTTGCATTATTTCTTTTACCACAAATTGATGTAGGCGATTTGCCTATGAGATTATTTCTTCAATCGGATTATTAATGGATATCAATTAAGGGAATCACGTCAACCAGATTTCTTACAAAAACAACAAGAGGAGAAGACTCTTCATGAAGATGTTGTTTCTTTGCCAAAAGTTTTGAACACCAACATTGAACTCGAGAAAACTTCAATCAAGTAAGAGAAGCATGAAAAGATTGAGAAATTAATCATAACAGGAGAAAAAAACTTGTAGCATTCAAAGAAGAGGAAATCCTCGACTTTATCGTTTGCTCAAAAATGGAGTTTGTGATTAAACATTATGAGGAGATTGAGGTCCATATTGTTGAGTTCGAAACGGATGATAAGAGGAAGTCATACTACTTGGAGAATGACAAGATTAAAATTTGAAAAAAGTTACAATATATAACAAAGTCAAATTAAGCAAGCCAAGCATGACCTTCAAATCCATATTCAGAGTGCCATGAAACATTAGTGAAAAAGTCGAACTCTAGACATTAAATAAATCGCTTAATGGGATGCAACCCATTTTCCTATCACTTACCTCTTATTTTTATTAAGTATTGCATTACAAATAGAGGAAATCCTCCAGCTATTGTGTTATAGGGTAATTAG